TTTTTTTTTTTTTTTTTTTTTTTTTTTTTTTTTTTTTTTTTTTTTTTAAGAGAATAGATAAAGTATCTTTGGATAGTAATGAAAAAAAAATAATTAAATAAATTACAAAAACTAAATATTAACTACAAATTTGTCATTATACTATTACGGAATTAAAATTTATGTTTAAATGCTTATCATTGATTTACAGTTTAAGTAACTAGCAATGAAAACTATTTTAAGAAAAAATATCTTAAGGGACCTAACCTGGGAGGCCTGTATGCAAGCGCATTTTTAAGAATCATCGCCGAGACGGCTATAACCGTAACAGCATGAGAACAACAAGAAATTGTTTACTCAACGGCCCATAACCTTGAGTATTAAGTCGATGGAGAAAGGTGAGCGAAAGCTTAGGTCCGAATCCACAGGCCCCGTCATTAAACAACCTAGCCAAGACTAGGGGCTGCATGCAGCAGAGCAAACAGGCTCACCCTGACCCATTGAACCATCCTCGAACGGAAAGGCAATCGAACCGTCCTTATTTGCATATATACTTACAAAAACTGGAATTCAATCAAAAAATATTCACAATTCAAAATTCCGTTATAGATTTACATCGAATTTTAATCTTTAAGTAGTTAAATTTAGAAAACTTCACATGGCTCAAGAATCTATCAGACTCCAGGAACCAATATATATAGTTGATGTGACTTCTCAACCTATTTACTGTAGTAGTAGTTCATTTACGTCGCACTAGAGCTGCACAATAGGCTATTGGCGACTGTCTAGGAAACATCCCGGAGGATGCTCCGAAGACATGCCATCACAATTTTGATCCTCTGCAGAGGGGATGGCAACCCTGCTTCGGTAGCCCGACGACCTGCACGCGAAGTCGAGCACTTCACGATAGAACAGATTAAGGAGGACCAATACCGCGCACCCTCAGTCCCTACGCAGACTGATCCAAGTGGTCACCCACCCGCACACTGACCGGAGCCAGTGATGCTTGACTTCGGTGATCTGCTGGGCAACCTCTTTACTGATCTCATTTTACATGGGTCTCAAAGTGGACTGTTCATTAAGACGCGGATTCCTGTTGAACACCGAAGTCAAAGCATCACTGGCTGCGGTCAGTGTGCGTGTGGGTGACCACTCGGATCAATCTATGAAGGAACCGAGGGCGTACGGTAATGGTCCTCGTAAAACTGTTTTACAGTAAAGTGTTTGACTTCGAGCGCAGATCATCGGGCTACCGAAGCGGGATGCCATCTCCTCCGTAGAGGATCAAAATTGTGATGGCATGTCTTCGGATCATCTTCAGGGATCTTTTCCAGATCGATGCTAATAGCCTATTGTGCAGATCTAGTGCGGTAAAGGAGTATTACTATTTTACAGCACTAGAGTTGCAGTCTAGCTGTCTCATCAGCGATCTCCTTTAAGAACAATTTATACTGCATGCAATTCGCTCATAGCCGATCACCATTTAAAGGAAAGAAGAGCCTAATTACTGAGTTTTTCGGGGGGAAATATTTTCCGCTAATCAGGCATTCATTCCATAGGCAATCGCAACCCTCGAATACGTCATCTGGGGAGAAGACAAGATGATAGGAATGTGCTACGATATTTTTTCCTTTTCTTAATATTTTTCTTTTTTAATTAATAAAAATATTTTTTTTAAAATTTCCATGATTCTTTCTTTTAGAAGTATGTTTATGCAGTTTTCAGTTCCACATTAGAGATCAAAATGGGCTGCAGGTAGCGTAGAGCAGAACTCTCTACCTATGGCAACACTTCGCACGATTTCCCCATTAGCGTGTGGAAAGTCATAGAGGTAGGAAGTACGTTAGTTTCTCTCTTGATTTTCATATAGATTAAAATCTTCTAAGTTGGAAAACTATATGGAACTGAAAACTACATTAAACATAGTTCTAAAGAAAAGCATCACGGAAGTTTAAAAAATATTTTTTTTAAATAAAAAGGAAAAAAAAATATCAAGAAAAGGGAAAATATCGTAGTGCATTCCTATACAACTGAAAAGAGGAGGAGAGGGAAGGGCCAAAGGCATGACACCGGTCTCTTCCCAGATGGCGTATTCGAGTTTTGTAACCGCTAATAGTTTCCAAACTTAAAATTTTTTATTCTATATGAAAATCAAGACAAAAACTAACATACTTCCATATTCTATGACTCTCTACACGCTAATGGTGAAAGAATGTGAGGTGCTGCCATAGGTAGAGAGTTCTGCTCGACGCCATCTGTAGCCCATTTGGGTGTGCAGTATTGGTCCTTATTAAAATTGCTCTATTGTGTAGTGCTCGACTTCGCACACAGGTCGTCAGGATACCAAAGTGGGGGGGGGGAGCATCCCATCTACAGAGAATCAAAATTGGGATGGCTTGTCATCCCCCAGACAGTTGCCAACTGTGCAGCTTTAGTGCGACGTAAATAAACTACAACTACAACTATCATAGCATCGCAAACTAAGCTCAAAGCAAATGTTTTGATACAATTGTAAGATTATTAATTTGAAATTTTATCAATAAAAATTGTTACAGTTGAAAGTTTTTTAAAATTATTTTTGTAATTTATGATTTAATCATAAAAATTCTAATTCTTTAGCACAATGAGCATTCGTAGTGTACTACTTTTTGCTAAAGTCATTACATCTGACCTGCGTGATGTAATGAAAGTTTCTATAAGTAAATATGTCATGGATGAAAGATTAACAATGGTATTTTATATTACTGTACAATTAACACGTTTTTTTAGGGATATTTGCGTATCGTGATCTGTGGCAAAATATTATACATATATATATATATAATTTGAACGTTCTAATGAAATATCTAATAATATAGGACACATTGAAAGAGGTAAAAATACTTATAAGATAGGTTTAAAGTTTGATAAATGAAATGCTTTTATAGGTTTGCAGTTAATCAGGAACTTATTGTCAAAATAGAAAAAATAGTTTAAAAATACATTAACTAAAACATAAATTAAGGCATATTTTGTTATGTTCTAATAGTGTTATATTTTGTTATGTTAACTAATAGTGATNTTAATAAAATAATAAATGTATGTTTTTAAGTGTCTGTAGTTATGATTTAATAATTAAAATGATTAATAATAATTATGATTTAATGATAGTGGAAGTAACTGCAAACTTTCAAAGACAAGTGCAACAAGAGGGTGTGTTGGCTATTTTTCCTTTCTTTTACAAATTTATGTATTGACAGCAATGACAAACTAAATAAAAAGAGTTAAAAATAAAATTTGAGAAATCTACTATAGAGCTTGGGGAAAAATTAAAGCGTTGAGGAAAGAAAGGGCAAAAAGGGAATGGAGTCTTATTACATCAGGACACTAATTTACTTCAGGGGCAACAGGGTGGATTCTTTTGACTAAAAGGGCAGCAGGGTGCTGCACCCTGTTTACCCTGCCTAGAATGAGCTCTGTATAATTTAAAATTCATTTTTTGGCAATAAAATTTAAAACAAAGTTGCTAAAAGATATTTAAGAACAGATTCCTGCATTTTCCCAACATGATTAGATCAAAATGTACTATTTGAAATAAAATATTAGGATACTAATCAAAATTTTCAACATTTCCAAGCATTTTGTTGGGCATATTACATTACTGAAGAATGTCAAGATTGATTACTTTCATTCATAAAATCTTGCTTTGAGAAACACATGTACACATAAAAAGAAAGCCTCATAAAATAAACTTTTCTTATCATTTTATGAGGATTTTATTTTTTCATTGATCATTTTATTTTTTCTTATCATTTTATAAACTTTTCTTATCATTTTTACACAGAAATGAGACATGAAAAAGCCTGGGAAATCCTTTTAGAGTTTCCTGGCAACATTGCACTAACCTTTTGTTATCATTATCCTCAATGATTTCGAATCCTCATTATTCTCGAATTTTGGACTCATCCATACTAAATTCAAAAATCGACTGGGCAATGAAAAATTCACAAAATTAGTCACTTGCTATCGTATGCTTCGGCAAAGTGACCCCGACTACTGAACATATAATTTTGTTTGTAATTAAGTTTTGTTTAATGTGCTTTTTCAACCGAATAAAAGCTTTTAACTTGACAAAATAGCAGTATTTCTTGACATAGAGTTTGTTAGTAGTTAGAAGTTTTGAAAGTTTTGTTTAGCTTATTTCTAATATTTAAGAAATGCCAAATTTAAATTCTTCATTTTAGTTCCTGAATTTATTAATAGATCCAAGCTTTTTTGTTTGTTTGTTTATTTCTAACAATTAAGAAGTGCAAAATTTTGAATCCTATAAATCAAGCTATAATGATTAAAGTAAGTATCACTATTTTCAATACTACAATATTTCTGTATGAATGTATATCCTTCTATAAGAATACGTGTATATAGTTGAAAAATCAATAGCAATCATTTACATTTTATAAAGGCAATTATGTGAAAATAATATATTGTCCGCTATATGCCATAAATAAAAGGAAATGGTAGGTTTTTGACAGTTTTTACCGGTAAAAACACGGTTTTTACCACTGTCAAGTCAAAAACCAGTTTTTGACGGCAAAAACCCAACCCTGCTTTGAATATCTTTTTGACGTGATTTGTTTTTCGTCGTTTTATTCTTTTGCATTAATTTTTATTCTTTCTTTTGGTTTGAATATTTATAAAAAAATATTAATTTTACTTTTATGTTTATAGGCATTTTTCCCCCTACCGTATGCTACTTCAATGCACTTTTGTTGTTTTAATGCATAACTAATTTAAGAGTTAATCTGATGAGATCAACACAACCAATTTTCAGGATTGGAGAGCTGGGCCATTACATCCACCAATGTATTCATTTCAATTAAATTATAAAAGTTAAGGTATTGAACAGACACAAAACTAAGGCAAAATGAAAGCGGGAAGCAATCCAATTAAAAAATGTACAAGTTACTTTGGGGATTCATAATAAGCAAATATTCTTTACCTTTAATGTATTCAAATTAAAGTATAAAAACTGGGGGTATTGAATAAGGCTGAGATAAAATTGGTGAGTGAAGCGAGATAAAGCTTATTGGTCAAAGTGACATAAGTCAAAGTAACATTGGTCAAAGTGACATTGGTCATTAGTGACATAAATGTCTTTATGTTCTTTAAAAAGCTGTTTTATTTATTTAAGTGCTTACTTTATATTTTTAAAGCAAATCTATTTGTGTAATTGATTGGAAATATTTTTTTTTCTTAGTATTTTAAGGAATCTTCCCAGCACTATGTTATTGATACAACTAACAAATGTAAAGAAGGAGACTATGTTTTAATAAGAGTAAGTTTCTGAATTTTCTTATCCTTTTCTTTACAAATAAAATAATAATAACATTTTAGTCTTATAATTTAAAAACTATTTGATATTCATTGATATTAGTATTTATATTTATTTATTTGTGATATTTATTTATTGTATATGTGATATTTATTGTATTAAGTGATATTTATTTATAAATTTCTCTACATCCTCAGTGTTTTTTTTCACTACAGCGCGAGAACGCGAGAATCTCGCATATTTTTTTCTTTTCTCGCATTAAAAAATTATTACTGCAAGAAATTCGCGCATTCTATAAATCAATTTCAAAATTCTCGAATTTCTCGCATTTTGGAAGAAGCTTCGAATTACGCTATTTAGAATAAAATCCGTTTCACTTTTCCTCCTGGATCTTTCATTATTTTCAACATTTGCTCCGTTATCTAGCTTCCCTATTTACCAGTATTGTTCAGAACCTTTTCGAACAACAGAACACAACCGAACCACGGAACCCCTTTCAGAACACATTTCTCTGCAACCACGTGTTTACCGTAGGTAAGGTTTTTTCATGTAAGACGTTCAAATTTTTTATGCACTAATGTAAGATGGACAAATACCTAGTAAAGGCAAAATCTTCTATGATGATGCAGCAAGAATATTCAATGCTTTAAAAAATAGAAGACGTTAAAAATGTATTATAATAAAAGAAATGATTTTTTTTCAAGTCTATTTGTGTTTTTTTAGTTTTTAGAAATCTCACTTAACTTTCTGAAATCTCACCCTGTTTTTGAGAAAGGGTGAGAAATTCTCACCCATTTTTTTTCTATGATGAAGACACTGATCCTATTTTTTTCTTTTATTAGATATATTCTATTGTCAATTCTAAGTAATTTTTTTTTCCAATTCAGTGAAAACTTTGTTTTAAAGCATTTAAACACATACTTAACCTTTTAAATGTGGGGGCATTGTATAGTATTATAATTTAAAAAGGGTCAAGCATTAAATAATTATATTTTGAAAATAGGAGTCTTAAAAAGCAAAATAGCATATCTCACTGATTTCTTTATCGTTTAAAAAAATAATTAGTTTTTACAAATTAACACATGAAACAAAATATTTTTGCTTGGCATAAGGAAATAAATAGTTTAGAAAAATTAACTATTATTTTCAAAGATTTATATAAGTTTTATTTAAAAAATTTGATAGTTATTTTATTTGGAATATATTACGTGTGTGCTATTTTGTTTGCAAAACCAGCCAAGGCTTAAAATTTTCAGGAAAAGCTGATTTTCTGTAACTTTTAGTCGAAATGAGATAGGAACTAAAACTCTTTTGTTTAAGAAACATTAAGACTGTGTGTTTTAAAACACAATATGCGGAGGCTGGGGCAAGTCAAACGACAGAGTGTTCATTTTTAAAATTTTGGATTTGACCTGTTTTGAAACTCATTTTGGCGTTGACTGGTTTTGTTATAAATTTGAACTTAAATTTCTTTAATTTACTGTAACTACTGGATTTTTAAGATTGCAAATAAGCAAGAAGGATAAGTTTAATTAAATTGCATTAAACTAAAATTGGAATCATAGTTTAAGTGAACTATATTTCAGATTACTTTTCTATTTTTTTGAACCCTAGGACTTTCAGAAAAGTGACTAATAAAAAAAATAAAAAAAATGAAATAAATAAATAAATTTTAAAAAAAAAAAGTAGAAATCATAGCAGATTTTAAAATTGACTTTTGAGAATTATGAAACTCATAATATTGACTCTTAAGTTATAACATCTCTAACTAAAAAATAAAAATGAAAGTCTTGTTTCAAATGAGTTTTATATAATATAATATGATAATATGTTTCTAAAATATCAACCAGTGATGAGTAAATATTATTATGAAATCTTCAAATTATGTCTGACTATAAATGTAAATTTTGATTACCTGCAGCTTTGATGCTCGCTATCTTCAAAATTCGGGCTTGGTTTGCAGCAAAACGTATTTTTCCAATGTATATAAAATATGAATTTGATGAAATTAGCCATGGTTTCTTGTATTTAATCAATGGAATAGTTTAATTAAAAAACTTATAGTGCTATAAAAATGCATTTCCAACCATTAATTTTAGACTTCTTGAAAGGAAGTGAACACTGTGATCATATTTATTCAATTTTGGGAAAACCTAATGGCACATTATACAATCAAGAACTTATCTCAATGCTCCATTACATGCTGCACAACTTCCTTACACACCTCTCAAGCCATAACTTATGTATTATTTAATATATTATGTGCTATTGCATGTAAAAGACAAGCTCCATCCATGGCACCATAACACCCATAATGTTTAAAATTTCTGCAGCTATTTAAGAAAGAATCTAAATTCAAGGATCAATTACTTTGTAACTAAGTTTTTATTTCTAATATTTCACTTTAACTATTGAATTATATTATTAACTATTTGAATACATTACTCTTTAAAGGAAAACTTATAATATTGAAATAAGACAGATTGCTAAAGTATTCTGCATTTGCATATATTAAATTATCAAATCTTAATTAAATCTGAATGCGTTCTACACTATTATAGGCTACATGTTTCTTAATGATCAGATATTTCATAAAAATGATCGAATATTTAATAAAAGTTTATTACTCTGCCCAGGAGACAAAAATCTGAAAAAATTAATTAAGTTGCAAATGATTTTTCTTCAAAATAATTTTTAACCTCAAGTTTAAGTGGATGAACATTTATTCTTCATTTCAGTGTTTGATTTTCATTATTTATTTTTAGGAATTACCGGAGAAGAAAGGAGAAATTACTCATGCAATTGAGAAGATAATATATGAGAGAGGAAATCTTATTGATCCTTTAACTGGTAAAAAGTGTGCTGGACACGAATATATTGATGATATAAAGAGGATATCAGAGTTATTCGGGAAGAAACCTTCTTATTTAGAATGAACCTTGCTTGTTTCTGCATTTTGTACATAGAATTAGCTCATAAATTTTCATAAACATTTTATGGATTAAATTTATTTTTATTTTGATAACACATTAACTTCATTCCTTATTGATATTGAATACATTTTCATGCTAACTAGTTTTTTTTTCCATCATTGAAGTTTTAACAAGTTGGTAAAAAAAAACCTTATATTTAAAATGCAGGGTGCAAAATGATACACATTTCCACCCTCTTAATTGTATCAGCTATAATTATAAAAAGGTGTATGTTAATGATACAGTGGTGATTAATGATTGGATTTTTGTCTTGGTTGCAAAACTTTGGAGCTTCTTAAGAACGGTTCAAGATTGATCTGAAAATTTAAATTTTCAGTTAGTAACCAGTATTCTAATGACTTAGTAGCTACTTTTTCCTCAAACTTAATGAGTTGGTGGCCAATATTAAGTCCTTTTAATTTAATAGCCACTTTTTGCAAACTTTTTTTTTGCTTGGATTTAATTAAAAAAAAAACTCATATTAGAAAAGATCTAAGACTATAAAAAGTTAATTCAACAATAAAAATAATATAAATAAGTGACAAAATTTAGTTAAACATACTGACTTTTAAGATTTGGGGAGGCAAAACACATTTAAAGTATACATTACAACTTTGAAATATGTGAATTGTTAAAGATCACTTTCTACCACAAATTGATGGATCCTGAAGGATAGAAATTTTGAATAGTGGCATTGAACATAGTAACGAAAATTCTGTTTTCCTCAGTATCTTTCTACCATTGATGTACTTTTATCATTAAGCAATTTTTTAAAAAAGCGATTTGAAAAAGTAACCGGTTGTTTATTTAATTTAAGTTCGTTCCTTTTTTTATTGACTCCCCACATCGCGAGTGGTTATTTTCAGGTCTAGTTCAAGATAAGGGAAAAATGAATTACTAAGTTGTAGAGAGCCTTATCAGTTTAGCACACTTTAGTGCAGAGATTGAGAACCTATGACATTTGTGCTATTAGATGGACCATTACTGGTATGTCAGTGGTACCTACATGAAAGATACATATTAAATTACTTTTATACACTAACATGCTGTAATTATAATGTGTTGTATATACTGTTGTAATTATTTATATGCAGTGGTGGTCAAACTCATTTATAATGTTATAATGAAACCTTATAAAAAATTTAAAAAAACATGGTTAATGATAGTGGTCATTATACGCAGATTCAGGAAAAGTAAAATTTAGAGTTTCAATATGGCATTTTTCTACTCCACTAAGAAAGTCCATTTTGCAAAAGAGATCTAAAACAACTAAAAATATTTAGAATTAATTACTTCAATTTCATATTATTGCTTAGAACAAAGGGAGCCTGCTTTAGAAATTTTTATCTTAGCTTAATGTTAAACTGAAATATTTTTAAAATACTATTAATTGGATTTCCATTTGAAACAAGTTAATAACTTAACCACAAATATAATTGCATAATAAAGTTCTATAGTTTAAAATCAATGTACAATGGTTTAAGGATTATTTTCCAGGAAGAAAAATGAACAAGTGGCAAGCTATACACCTAAAAATTATAAATCGGATTTTAACTAGCAATCTTTTCAAAAAGGTTCACCATCTTTGCCTCAGTACTATTAACAGCTAACAAAATAGCACTTAAAACATAAATTTTTTTGTTGCTCACAATGTCCTGCATGTTGTGACACGATGAAACATTCTTGAGGGGAAAGAAACTAGTCACTTTATACTTTATTGTAAATGCACTAACAGCGTGTAAGTTTTATTTGAAAACTTGAAGCTAAAAAAATAATACTTAAAATGCAAGTTTTATTGTTCACAATATTCTTCATGTTGTGACACGAAATGATTTTAAGTAGGAAGAAACTTATCACTTAATGCCTTTGTAACTTTTTTTTAAATATACCTCTTACTGTATTTGAGATAGGTACTCTTTACTGCAAAGTTCCATAGTTTCCCAATAAGTGAAAGTGATTTTATCTTGTAGTATAGTCATTTTACTATACCTGGACACTACTTTTATAACTGTCACTGAAACTGTCCTAAAGCTAAGAGGTTGTTTAGGGACTTTAATGAGAACTCTGAATGGAATATATTTTTAGTTACTTTCTGAAAGGCCAACAGTTTAATTCACAAGATAGTTAACAATGCTTTATATTAATCAATAAAATAAATCATGAATGTAATAAAATAATGTAAAAGTGAAATCTTCTAAAAATTTTTTGATAATGTAATAATGAGATCTTCCATTTAACAGTGAAATAGAAGAGAAGAAACTAAGAGTTTTAGCACCATGCAACCATAAAACATGGTAAAACAAAAATTAATCTAAGCACAGCTTAGGCCTGGAAGCTGCTGAGTAACTTTTCAAAAGTTTATTAAATAATGTACTTATACTAGATCTAAAGAATAAAAAATGTATGTTTGTATTACAATAAAATTTGTTGGCTGAAAAAGCATATCTGAAGATTTTATAAAAAATTAGAAAAAATATTAAGATTTTAAGAGATATGGAAATTCCTTTAATGATTTCAAAATAAATTACAAAACTAATATGCAGAATTAGAAACACATTTAACATTTAAACACTTAGTATTGCTAACAATTTTCAAATAATTCGCTTAAATTAAAGAGTTAAAGTGCAAAATTTTTTCTTTGAACTGTAAATTTTTTTTAGGTGCATCAGTCATTGGTTAGTGGAATCAAAATAAGTTACCAAACCAAAATGCAATATTAGAAACACATTTAACATTCAAAGCTGACCTTTGATACCACTACAAAGAATTAGCTTAAACAAAAGTTTCATAATATTTTTTCTTTGAACTGTAACAATTTTTTAGTTGCATTAGTCACTGATTAGTGGAAAAAATTGTTTATTGTCATCAAATTGGAATGGAACTATTTATGTATTATAATATTAAAATTCCTTCAGTTTTTTAAACCCCAAATGCTGGATATTGCACTCAAAACTACTTAGTCGCATCGAAATTTATAAAAAAGTGAGATATGGGTCAGAAATGTCCTGGGTAATGTTTTACATCTGGTCTCTAAGAAAACCTCAGTTTATAGGTGTTAAACAAAATATTAGGTTCTTTTTCACATTCACTTTTATGACCACATATTTATCATTGCTTTTACAGAAAGCTAGGAATCTCGATTTGTTGGAAGGTAAAAGAGTCAGGTGTATGTTTAGAAAAAGGAGTATTTCTATTTAAAAAAGAAAAAAAAATATTGTGGTTTTAAATTAACAAGATCTTTTTATGTACCATAGTTTTTTTTAAAGAGGATTTGGCTTTTACTAACTAGTAAAAAACTAGGATGAAGACAAAATTATCAGAAGCATTCCACAGAAAAAAAATATCTGGGGTCCATTTTAAACTAAATCTGGCTATAAAACTTAAAAATTATTTATACAATTTCCGAAGAAAATTTAATATAATAAAATCTATATCCTTTTATTTTTAAGCTTACGAAATACAATTGGAGGAATTCTTTATATTAAAAAAATTTTCATAAATGAAAATTGAGCTTTAAAACTCCTATTGTACAGTTTGTAAAACAACTATTCCTATTGCTGCGAAGTTTCAAAAATATTTTACAAGGATGATTTAAATTAGTAACTCAGTAGATATTACATACCTGCCAATTTTCTCTCATTCCAAGAATGGATTTTCCAAGTGGTACAAAAACTATTACCAAAGAATAATCTTACTCATAAATATGATTATATTTTGATCAGATTGGAATTAGCTATTGTAAAGATTATTATGCTTTTATAAATTAGTTGTAATTATTTACATGTAATGGTGATCAAACTCATTTATAATTATTATTATAATTCAAAATGTTTAAAGGAATAACATGAGTTTTGCAACTACTTGAAATGTGAAAATAAAATCTTCCGGAAAATCCAGAAGAGTTGGCAGCTATGATATTAGATATCAGTATTCCTTTTAGAATTATTAAATTCGCCTATTGGTTCAAAAAAAAAAAGGGTTGAAAACTGTGATTTTTCACATATTAAAGTGCATATGCATATATAACAGGGCTGCCACTCCACAAGGAGAACATGAAAAACCTGGAACATACAAGGAATTTAAAAATCACCTAAAATAACAGGCAATTTTTCTTTAGAAACTGGGAAAATTTGTATCTTATTTTCATCTTAAATGGTAACCACTCAAACTGTAATATATGGGATATTTCAGCTGTATCAAACTAGTTTATTTACTATAACACTATTCGTTTTAAGTATGTTCAGTTGTTCTTTTTTTCTCAAAGTTTTTGCAGCAATTATAACTAGTATGGTTAGCCTAATTCAGCTCATACAAGAGCACAGTGATCATGTTTTTCCTCTTAATATATTCAGGGTTATATATATAGCATGGCGAAATCGGTTGCCACTCAAATCAGCAAAAAAAAATAAAAAATCACAAGGAATTTTTTTTTTGCAGATTTGAGTGGCAACCCTGTATAATCAATCTATTGGTATATACACTGAAAAGATAATTTCATACCATTAAAACAAAAATAAAGAATCTTTATGTAATTGAAGCATTTGTATGAAGAAAATGGGAAAAAGAACTTTTTAAAGATGTAAAAATAATCTCAGTATTAAAAACGCGTAAATACAAATCACGCTATTGGATTTTTAATTCTTGTATATAAGAATCGCAATGCACAACTTTTGAATCAGGTAAATAAGAAAATCGATGTTTGATATCAAAATCGTGTGAATAAGAATCAAGATATTAGCAGATTCTCGGCTTGGGATATCTAAAAGGCTTGTTTGTATTGTTTTGTTTAGCCATAATAAATAAAAATTTACAAGATTAATTAAATGTGCAAATAAATATTTTCACTGCAAATCCACAGCTATTTTTCAAAATTATTTTGTTTGCTTTTGCGCCAGCAAACAGGAAGCAGCGACGCCTGAATTTGAAAATATTAGCTATCTGGCGGGCGGGTAGAAATATGAAAAATCTTATATTCTGCACGTCTAAGCAGAGAAAATAGCTAAAATAAGTAAAAATTTGAATTTTCTATTTATCTTTGAAAATCGGAAATAAATATAATTATCTTATTTCAATGATCAGAAAAAACATATTTAGAAGAAAAAAACTTTTCAGCCTTTTTATCAAAGTTTTTGATAAAAAGGCTGAAATTTGAGAAACAAAAGCAGAAATCCACTAAAATGCAGAAAAATCTCATCCCTGTACATAAAACTTCTTTTATTTTGGCAAGGGAGAAGATTTAGGAATGGCTTAAACTTAAAGAAACTTGTTTAGGTCCAGTTTGTTTAGGCCTTACTTAGACTTCTTATAACATCTAATTCTGAAATTAAGTTTAGATACAGTAAGTCCATTATGTTTGTTATCTATTTTTTTCTCTTCAATTTTATGCAATATGAGTCATTCTAATGTATAATATTGTAGAAATTAGCAAATAACAATGACACAGATATGCTAATTCATAGTATCATTTCAATCAGCAGCAAATTACCTAAATATTCAGTCATAAAATGCATTTGTATGCTCAAGGGAAAGAAAAAAAAAAGATTTTCTTTGGTAAACAACTTTATTGGTGAAATACTGTAGTTATAACTAAACAGAATAATGTTCATTTAATAACGATGCACATAGAGATAAAATAGGCAAACAATAAATGTTATGAAACAAAATGCAAAATGTGAATTTAAAAAAAAAATGTATGAAAAATCATTAATTTTTTCTAAATAACATTATTAACAACAATTAGAAAATCTTAAAAATGAACAATGCAAAAATTTCAATCTATAATTATGATCGAAAAATAACTTCATAAACTTAGAACTCCTATGTAGGTCAATTTTCTTTTCAATTCAATCCTTTTTTTTCCAGATATTTTAAAACATGGTTATTTAAATATGTTTGTTATAAGTCATAAACAAATATCTTAAGCATCTCGTTGAACTTTATCAAGTGGCATATTTTATTAATAAAAATTTGACCTGTTAAACAAAATTACTTTAGAGATATTATTTTACATAAAATCTTTCCTAACTTAGCTTGGGAGAAAGCATATAGATTCTGTATCAGCACCTGATTAGGTCAAATGTTAGTTTCCAAATGCACAAGTGCTACTAACCTGCACATGTTAGAAAATATAAAGTAGTTTGCATGAAGATGGCTTAAAATTAAACTATTCCAGCTTGTTTTCTTCCATGATTCTTTTTTCAACTTTTCATATTGATTTGACTTTTTATTTCAGTGCAAGTGGTTGTGACCAAAACTTGGTGACTTTTAATACAAGCATTGATATAGTAATTTTCTCATAATCTAAGTGAATCCCAATAAAATGCACGGTTTCACTCGTAATAAACAGATAAGACGTCTGTCAGTCAAGGTTTATTTTAGATGCAATATTAACTGATATAATAAAATATTAAAAACCAAATAATTTTATACACAAATAAATCAAAAATTTTAACAGGAAGGATGCTTTCCTATAATTAAAGAGAATAACTTGCATTTCCTGAAAGCAAACCTAGTTATGACTGTTAGCAATACCTTAAAAAAGGCACCACCTTATACCTTTGAACAGTAAAAAAAAATTGCTATTGACAAATAACAAATTCAGCTTTATAATTATTAGCTACAAATAATGATGCATTTATTTATAATATGAGTATTTACAGGTTTTAATATCATCAATCACCAACAACCAGATGTGTCCTTTCATGTTTTTCACAAGCTTTTTTGTTTTTAAATGTCTTAGGACACGTTGTACAGCAAAATGGTTTGACTTCAGAATGTACTGCATAGTGCTGGTCAAGTCCAACCTTCATTTTAAATCGCTTGCCGCATTCCGGACATTCAAACGGCCTAATCGACGAATGTGTAGAGTAATGCTTATGAAGATTTGTTTTCAATGTAAATGCTTTAAAGCACACACCACAAACATGAGGCCTCTCATCCATATGTATTAACCTGTGTTTCTCTAAATATCCTTTAGATGTAAAACCTTTCTCACATAAATCACATACATATACACGCTTCTGATCAGTGTGGGTTAAGAAATGCTTTTGGAGGTTGGTTTTCAATGTAAATGCTTTACTACATATGTTACAAACATGAGGCCTTTGGCCTTTATGAATTAAATCATGTTTCTTAAGGTATGCTTTTGAGGTAAAATCTTTTCCGCAAACCTTGCACTCATATCTTTTTGCTTTCTCAGGATCATGGGTATAATAGTGCTTCTGTAAATTTGACTTGTGACTAAAGGATTTGTCACACACATCACAAGAATATGGTTTTTCCCCACTATGTAACGAAATATGTTTCATAAGATATGCTTTACTAGTATATCGATTTAGACATAAATTGCATCGAAAAACTTTAAGATCATTGGAAGTGACATCGGGTACTATTACTTCAGAATCATTGCTGCTCGATGCACTTTCATATCCATGGGTTTGAAGAAGATGCTCAGAAAGATCAGTATATGTAGTAAAAGCTTTTCGACAAAACTTACACAAATGAGGTATAACCATATAAGTGGTTACGCCATTTTCCACCTTTAGAACATTAGACACAATCATTTTAAAAAAATGTTAGAAGATATAATTCACTAGACTGAAAATACGAATAATTATTTAAAAAAAAAAACAATCAAGAACTTTATGATTGTAAATAAATAAATGTAATATTTAAGTCAAAGTAGCAGTAGTAACGTACGGTACCAGTCTAGTCGAAGTAGTAGTAAGTGCGATTTTTCTGATGCTGCTGCATTAACCAATAAGAAAATGCACAGCTCTTGCGCAGTATTTGCAATTTGATTGGCTTAAGTTTTTCGTGAGAGGCTGTTACAAGTACAATTTCAGTTTTTACTGCATACAATTTACGCATGTCCGATCATCTTCCGAAAAAAATGAGAACCTGATTAGTGAATTCTCTGCCTAAAGCTTTGATAGCATTTTCACTTTATATGATTCACAGGTGCGATTACACATAAATGCGATTCATGCTAGCTCAAGCAGTTCCTTTTAAGGACCATTCACCCTGAATGCTGCTGCCGCACTTCCGATCGCCATATAAGAAATACTAGAAGCTGATTTATGAAATATATTTTGCTGCTAAAAACTCATCAATCAAGTTCTTTTCTTTCTCAACGGCGATCGAAGGCGAGGCAATCATATTTGGTATGAATGCTTCTTTATATGTAGTAATTTAAACATCCACGTGCGAGTCCAATGGACAATCAGTCAAATTTTCATTTTGTGACGTAGCTATAGCTACGCCTCAAAACTTATAAGTTAGCGGTTAATCTAGCTTAAAGCCAAAATATCTGTAAATACTTTTTTCCAGACACATGTTATACTAGAAAAACCACTCATGCCCAATGAGATCTGAAAAAAGCTACGCGCTATTAGTATACTACCTACGTGACACTACAAGAAGGGATAGTTTGGGTTTTCGAGGAATTTTCCTATTCCGTTACAAAATTGGTATTTTCGAACAAACGAAAATTTATGTCTGCTTATGTATCTTACTTTTGTTTACTAATATCCTTTTACTAATATAGCAATCTAAAATTCGAACTGCTTAATTTCTTATTTTAAATAATTATCAAACAGTATTTTAGTTTAATACTCTGAGATATATATTTCAGATAGCATATAAAGATTTAATTTCTTTCAGACTATAAAAGAAATTAAAAGGTAATTAAAATTAAACCTACTAACCTAAAGGTCGTAGGTTCGAATTCCAGAGGTTACATGAGAACATTTCTTTTATCCTATTTTCTAAAGTATTTTTAATTTATAAATCAAGCACTAAGCACCTATTTTATATTTATATATTGCTATTTATTTTAAATTTATTAAGCCATATGTATTTGAAAATGTACCTTTAATTTGAATTTTTATAAAAAATTTCTAAAAATGTTTTTAAATTAAACATTTTTATACCTTTATCATTTAGTGACTATGATATATTTTAATTTTGCATAAATGACTGTAGTGCTTTTTTTTAATGTAATAAATTGAAAAAAAAAAATTTATATATTTCAGTTTTCTTTTCGTTATAAATAGTTTGAAGCAACTCTGAGCAAATGTGATTAGAAACGTAATGATTCATTTTCATAAATGAAATTTACTAAAATTCTATAATTTATAAAATTTTTTGATTTTTGGCAGTCAATTGAAGAAAATTTTTAATGACTAGGAATTTTAACTATTTAGTTAAAAATGGAATTATTAAAATTTAAATTGTATTAAGTTCTTTATATTTAAAATTATTTTGATTTTATGAACAATATACGTTTATACATATTTTTATTAATCTAAAAAATTTTATTAATTTTTACCAATAATATAGATATACATATGAAGAACACATACATCTAAAGCAAATATTTATTTCTATATCATTAATTTGTTTAGCATTAACACATACAAAAAAGGTAATATGTAAACTTTTAAATATTTTAAAATGTATAGATTTTTTTAAAAAGGAACGAAATTTCATTAAAATGAAAATAAAACATTTTATTTTCTCTATACATAAATTGTTTCTTAAAAAAGTATCGTAATTATGTTGATTACAATTAGTCTTTTGAAATTTAACAATAACTTTAGTTTGGTCATCATAAATAATAAAAATTTTCAATTTTAAATAAACATAAAACTTATTTAATTAGAAAAATCTATTTTTTATCTATCTATATAGATAGCTGCGCCCGTTACAAAATTGGTATTTTCGAACAAACGAAAATTTATGTCTGCTTATGTATCTTACTTTTGTTTACTAATATCCTTTTACTAATATATTAAATGAGAAAGAAAGAAAAAAAAAGAATCAATGCTAAAGGAGCTGGGATTTAAAGAATATCAGAACCTATTTAGATGTCAGATAAAATTTCAATTATTTATTATAATTATTTATATAATAAATAATTATAAGCAATGATATTATATAAAGATATTATTAGAGTTTAAGTAGTCACATTTTTTGTTTGAAGATTTAATAACAGAGAGTAACTTCTCTTCATTATATGACATTCATTTTTAAAATTTCTAATTTGAAAAAAAATCGAAATATTTTTATTTTTTTAAAATTCTTCTCTTCTTTCAATAATGATGCCAAGTAGCTTAGGTCTGCTGTTCAACGATGGTTATGATATAAAGTGTAAAATATAGTTTCAGATCAGATATAGTTTCAGATATAGTATAAAATATAGTTTCAGATCAGATATAGTAGAAAATATAGTTTCAGATATAGTGGAAAATATAATTTCAGATCAGATATAGTTGGAAAAAAAAAATGAAAAAAGAGAAGAAAAATTATAAAGTTATTTTTTAAACTTAAAATCACAAAAGGCGGATAATTTAAAATGCATTCATCTGTTAACCAATGTATGAACTACAAATGCTATCATTAAAATTATAATACTGAAATATTTGCGCATTCATCTTAAAAGGTGGTTTGTTAGGACAAGTTCACGTAGCTGAACGTCAGCAGCAGGCAGATAATTTAAAATGCATTTATCTGTTGAGTAACGTATGAACTACACATTCTATCTACAAAATTATGAATGGTTGACTGTGTAAGGATATCACCTCCTACATCAAGAAGCCTCCACATGGTCTTTTATAAGTAGTCCGCGCAGACTGTTTAAAAAGTGAACCAGTTGTGCGCATGAACCAAAATCTTTTATAAAAGTAATGGAGAGAAATTTATCTTATATATTTGAGAATTGAATTTGTATTGGTTGACAAGTGAATAAAGCAAACCAATAATATTCATAAATAAAATAAATTTTCAGTCATATATTTGCTACCACTTTCTTATTTTAACTATATTCTGTATTAAATGACTCGTTCAGTAAGTGGATATCCTTCACAGTGGTCTGATCGGACTAACTATGAAAAACCGTGTGAAGGCTTTCAGTTATAGGAGGCGTTGGTAAGGCTAAGCGCAGATGGCTCTAGGGGTTACTTCCTAATGATTTTTGCGCCTAAGCTTGAAAAAACGCACCAACCAATATGGTTATATTTGTAGTGTTCTCAATATAACACGTACGTACCTTCTATCTAGCTTTCAAAGAAACATATAACAAATGAATTCAAAGACTCCACAAGCTTGCTATGATGCTACCCAAAAACTAACAAACAGTGCTATTTTACACAAATATAGCCAAATAAGTGATAAAACTCAAAACATGGCTAACCTAAAGGCCTGTTTACACGGTCCAATTTCTTGAATCCGAGAAATTGGACGGATTTCCCTGTCCAAGAAATTGGATGATTCGTCGACACTATCCAAGTTCTTGAATGTCACTGATTCCTTGAAAGAAAAACTTGCGCATGAGCGTTGTTCATATTCAACATTATGAAATAATACTGACATAAGTTTAAAATTACTAAATAAATTTAAATAAAATCATAATAACACAAATAAATCGCAACAGATCAATTTATTTGGACTAAAATGACAACAAAATGACATGCCGCCTGTTTGTTGACGTTACAAAACCTAAGACGCTGATTGGTTAAGGGAGAAAAAACTTGGATGGAAAGTAGAACATGCTCTACTATCGTCCGAGAAGTTGGACCAAGTTCTTGGATGATTGTTTACACGATCCAAGCTCAAAGCAAAACAAGTTTCCATCAATATCAATCAATCTCTGTCCAAAAAATTGGATCGTCTAAACAGACCTTAACATTTCATTTATGCTGTGATATTCATTTTGTTAAATTTGTTTTAGGCTTACTAAATATTAGGATTAATTAATTGCAGAAAACTCTTATGAATGGCAAAATTTCGCGTGAATTTAAACAAAAATTGCAATAATAAAACTTACTAGAATATTAAGCCTGTTCACATGTCACCTCGTAAGCATAACATAAAGCGGAGAGATACACTGGAAGTTTTCTAAATTTCTTCCAGTTTTAGGAAGCTTGTTATTATTTACATTCAGTCAACCATCCATAATATTAAAATATTTGGGTATTTATCTCAAGATGTGGTTTGTTAGGACAAGTTCACGTAGCTGAACATCAGCAGCAAATGAGAGTCAACCCCTGATTGGCCTGTTTGCGAAGTGGTCAGCATACGTCATCAGAGAACGTGCTTCAGATCTGTTTCGTTTTGATTTCAATGAAAACAATTGCCGTTATTTTACTGTCCAGAAATTTTGAACTGTCTCTGTAGACAATGAGCAATTGTTTTTCATTTTGTTACGTAGCAGAGCTAACATAAACTTTGCCGTAAGGAGAAGAAAGAATTCGGAGAAATAGAAGAAATTTCTTCAAAAAGCTTAGAAAATTGACAGCCCTGTTGTTGTTGTTTCTAATCCCACACTAGCAAGCCTACTTGCCACACTAGCAAGCCTGCTTGGTGAAACCGAGCAAATTTAAAGCAGAGGGTACGTTTCTTGTTCTTCAGTGTTCATCTATGGCCAAGAATTCGTCTTCAGTCACACACACGCCACAGCCTGTTTATAGGGCAGATCCATTCATTCATCCATTCATTCATCCACAGATCGTAATTTTGACCTGAATCAGAGAACGGTTGATCTCCAATCCTGTACCCTCAGAGGTATTGATTTTTTATGGGAACATGGAGGACTATGCGACTCGACAGATTTAACGTGCATTAGTCACCACATTTACTACACGGGGAATCTTCGGCCTGCGGGGTTCGAACCCACGAAACTCTCGAATATGGTCCCAGCGCCCTACCGACTAGGCTATCAAGGACCGACAGCCTT